TATTCCGTGTGTTTGTGCTGGAGGTGGTCTTGCCGATTCTGCCAGACTATGGTCTTGAAGTCAAGAAGTCCACAGTCCAGTTGCAGAGAGAGGTGTTCAGGCCCAGCAAACTTAGAGTTTTCCAGTAAACAGAACTGGGATGATTGTGTTAAATGCTGAACTGAAGTCTATGAACAGCACCAGCACCAGAAAGAACCAGTTTTATTGAATTTTAAAAAGGTTTTAAGAGACAAACCGAACTTTGTAGAATATAATTACGGCTCTGTGAAATCAAGACATGTTTAACACATAAAATACTGAAAACTGAATCAAATCATGATCCCAGTATTGAAAATTGCAGCAAAATTTAACGTGCATCATTACACATTACATTCCTACTTTTTAAGCAAACTTTTTTTCTGTAAACATTTTTCCATCAACTAATCCATATCCATGCACTTATCCAATGACTAATCCATAACCTTACAAAGATGGGAAAAAAAAACATTTGAGGAGAGTGGGAGGAGTCTTGCTTGTAGTATAAGACAACCTTGGTATCTGATGATGCGTGTGAATTGCGTTTTAGGCTGGTGTGTGTGTGTGTGTGTGTGTGTGTGTGTGTGTGTGTGTGTGTGTGTGTGTGTGTGTGAGAGAGAGAGAGAGGGAGAAAGAGAGAAAAAAGAGAAAGAGAGAAAGAGACAGAGAGAACAGGGTGGGAAGGAGGTCTGGCTGACTGATTAACCTTTGACCTCTGGGCCTCCCAGGGTGAGGAGGCAGTTCACAAAGTCATTGCTGATCGACATTAATACCACACCAATACATACAGACAGCTAAAAGACAGCTACACTACCCTTCTAAAAGCTTTTCACATTCACTAGCACCACACCAACTCGCAGGGAAATGAGACCAGAACGCTCCCCCAATCATGCACTTCCGCATTTAGTAAAACCAAACTAACAAGCTAAACACTCATCTGACAGCGCATAACATTCTACAGACAGGAGTGAAACTAAGAGCTACTAACAGCTCCCTGCAGATACTGTGGCTATCTGTCTCCCTGCATCCACCAAAACATTAAAAATCAAATCAGTTTAAAAGTGGTGACAAGTCAGACACACACTCTGTCTTTCTCTCCTCCACCATCTCCTTCACACACCCTCTTGCACTTTAATCAGTTCAAATAGTCCTCTCTACAGCTCCCAATGCCAAATGCCTGAAAACTTCTCTATGTCTCACTCAGTTGCTGTCTCTGTCTTTCGCTTTCTCTGACTCCTTGCTCTCTATCTTTCTCCATCTCTGACTTGTTACTCTCACTTTCTCTCTCTTTCTCTCTCTCTCACTCGGACTCTTTTCTCTCTCGTTCTGGCTGTTGTTGTTCTGGGAAAAGCCGAAGGGGAAACATTTAGATTGGAGGGCTCTTTGAATTGGCTTGACAGTTGACTGATGACCGTCCATAAAGTGACAAAGAATAGCTGTGTGGCAGCCAGAGCAGCCTGGCGCTTCCCCCTGGGAAACTAATTGCCCTGAATTGTTAACAGCAACATTATTTTTCTGCCAATCACTGAGTTTCAATGCCCCGAAAATGAGCATGAAACAAGCCTTTTGACTGAACAGAAAAGTTAAATGTCTCCAATGTTGATCAAATTAACTTCAGCCTTCTGACAATGGACTATATTTGTGTGAAAATAATGGAGAGGGACAAAGGATGTCTTTTTGCCAAGATTTCACAGTTGTGATGTAAAACTGTTGTGCCCTGAACCCGAGCAGCTACTCTGAAAAGGAGAGCAAATGGAGACACATCCACTCACACAAAAGCAAAGCCTACCAGGAGGGAAGTTATTTGCTTGGACATGAATATCTTCAGTGGGAGATTTTTAAAAAAATCATGTAACTAAACAAATCTGAACATGAGCTTTCATTACTAACAATTCACACTTCTATTTAAAATAGTACCCTTTATTTAACCTATGCTTTTATCACTCTCTAATTCATAGTGCTTATTTTAAGTGAGACAAAATATAAAGCTGAAATTTATCTAAATAAAGTCGATATCCCCAGAAAAGAATATAAAAACACTGATGACACAGCTAAAACTTTCAGAGATCCATATTAAATAGTGCTGTCCTCACCACCAAGAGCGCACGCGTGAGTGTGAGAGAGAGAGAGAGAGAGAGAGAGCTAAATGCTACAGCCTCTCAGTATTGTTCCCCTGAGGCCTAGAAGCAGAGGGGAGATAAACAGTGTTTAGCAGTTGAAAGGGACAGAGGAAAAGAGCTTATCAGATGTGTTCTCAATGGGCTGGAAGCTGCACTATTAGGCTTCCAAACAGATAAGGGATGAGAGGGGGGGGTCATAGCAGCTCTGGGCTGGGGACTAAAAGCCAGGCAGCTCTAGATGACAACAGCCCTTCTGGACATCAACCTACCCAACACAGAGCTGAAGCCCAATCGAGGAACTCTACATAAAGTGATAACTCTGCCATAAAACTCATTAATTAGAAAGATGTGATATTTGAGTTTACTGGTGTGGCTTGAGGCAAGTGTGATGATTTAGGCATGCAGTCTGCACAATGCCAACTGGAACTTTCATTACTTGTTAGCTATATTAGTCTTGTAGCTCTTAAATGCTTAGAATTGCTTAAAAGAGTGAGGAATACCAAGAAAAATTGACATGGAGAGAGAGCGAGTAAGAAAATTGAGGGGTGGTGGGTTGGCGGTGGAGAGGAAGCCATGAAAAGTGAAAACTGCTACAGTAAAAGGCTATAGCGAGAGAGTGAGAGTAGGGGGAGGTCTGACTACACGCTCTCCCTCTCCCTTTTCCTGCTCTCTCTTTCTGGGCTAGAAGTCAGAGGGAAAGACAATGGGCCAAAAAGATGGTTCCCAACCGGCTGCTGAATGGGCACACTGTTGGTGGTAATGCTGCGTTCAAAAGGCCGCGCCACCACATTGTCCTCCCCAATCGCCACAGGAGAATAGTGTTTGCTGGTGGCTGCCAAAAGGTTAGCGGCCCTGCTGAAAGGAGCTGAACATTATTCACTGGCCCTAACAGAGCCTGGGGAAGCTTTTGTATGCTGCCCTCTCTTCCCTCAGCCCGCTCCGGATCTACCCGTTACCCTCCAAAAAGCAGCCATGATGGAACATCCCACCTAAACATTTAAGTCCCACCCACACCCCTAAAATACAACTAGGACCTCCCCAGAAAGGGCAAAGATTATACCTCTGTCACCTTTTAATAAGTGGTACGACAGCCACCACTCCCCAACACACATATGCAGATACGCAAAACAGCTCAGTGCAAAACATGCCAGAAACATCAGGGATGCAATGTCCTTCCCAGCCTTTTCATTTTGGACTGTTTCACTTTTTTGCATGGCTGTTTTGCCATTCATTCGTACATACCACAGGTTATTAGTAACCTATTAGTACACTGAACATAAACTGATCTACAAACTGCCATGCCAAATATACATGTACACATTGACATTTTGTCACTTATTTGCAAAAACTGCTAAAGTTAGAGGGCAGGATATGATATCATGGGACATGAGGTATGCGCTTAAGGATTAAAACACTACTGCGTGCCATAGACCATGGAAAAAACACTGACTGCAAGATCGTTAGCATTAGTGAATTTCTACTGTAACATGCGACCAGAAGGAGGATTTATAAGTCGACTTTTAAAAATAAATCAACTTCAGGAACACAAAAAAATTGCAAAACATACAGTCAGAATCTTCAGTGTAAGCAACAAGGGGTCCTTTTCATACTTCATTATATCCATAAATCCAAGTAAAATATGGCTTAATAAAAACTGTAAAAAGGTGCCATATCCCTAAAGCACTTCCACTTGGCTGTCCATTAAAGCCAGTCCATTCTTTCATCAGATGAGGAATCAAGGAGGGAGTGAAAAAAAAAATATGATCTTTGAAACATAAAAGCAGATCATAACTCACAGGGTGTCAAACGCTAAAAATACGCAGAGCATATGCATGCAGTTATTCTAAGTGGATTTGTGGTAATGCCATAGAAGTCGCCCTGTGCATTCAGATTTCATGTTGGAGAGTGTTTCATAATGGAAGGGCACTCACTAACTAATCTACATACACTAGGCCTGAACGATTTAGGGAAAATATCTAAGTGCGACTTTTCTAACCAACATTGCGACTGTGATTTAAACTGTGATTATCTTCTATAAATTGACGTTCAGGCCTTTTTTTGCCAAAAAGACCAGAATATCGACCTTTTCCGGCTTGAGGCTTGAGGTTTGACTCCTGAACGTAGTGTGCCAGACTGCCAGTAAGTTGTGGTTGTGATGTCACAAATAGGTTTGATTGCCTCTGATTGTTCTAACTCATCTAACCCATCACAAGCTAGTGTGTTACTAGGTTAAATTTCCCCACTTAAAACTTAGGACAGCATTTTTTGACAATGTAGGCTATAATTTGTAATTAAATTGCAGCTTTTACAATCTGAAAATTGAACTCTCTTAAATTGCGATTTCGATATAAAAAACGATTAACCTCTCAGCTCTCACACATATGTACAGTGGTCCATAAGTAAGTGGATAGTGACTTTTTTTTTTTTGATGTTTTACTTCTAAACTCGGTTGATGGTAGACGAAAATGTGTAATGTTCCTGACTGGTTGAGTTAGTCACTCAACCTGCATTTCATGCATTTCACTTACTGAAGAGACATCGGAGGAAAAAAAAAACCCTGAAACAAGCAAGGATTGAAGATGACTGCAATAAGAGACAGTATTTGGTTCTATGAGTTGCAGACTTCAGACAGTTGTTTACAACCACAATTTATGGTTCCCTGTAATAAGGGACTGTGTATAAAATGACTGATTCCTACATGGCTATCTTAACACAAAAAAACAGAGCAAAATCAACTAATACTGTCATACATCATTGTCCAGTTACTTCTACTCCGCAGAGTATTTACTGTACACATTAAACTCAAAAGGTGCTTCCCACTCATTCATTCACTCATTTTCTCTCTCTTACACAGATGTCTCTTACCTGTCCAGCACATAGCCAAGAGCTTTCTGTCGTGTGCCTGAGTAGACAGAAGGGCTGTTTTCCCAGGCCACCAGGTTGGAGGCATCATGGAACAAGTGAATATTCACCAGGTCAAAAGCACTACGGACACAAAAGGAAATATTTTTAACTCTGAAATGTGCAAGACAAAGAGCGTACTGTAATTTAAGTACAAATTCGCAGTGACAATGTACCAGCACTCATACCTCTAGTAACTCATACCCCTACTGACATGTCTCAACACCAGTGGGCATCAGTTAAGTGCACAGGGGCGTTATGTGAGCAACCCAGTATTTTTCATCACGTTCGTGACACGAAAAATGAACACATCAAAGAACACCTCTCGGTAAATTTGAATTTAAGACAGTTTAATACTTAAGCCCTATAAATTGGAAAACTGACAAATTAGAACTTTTTAAGGACGTGCAAACACAGTGAAGGCTGTATACTCCAAAAAAAAATGAAATTCATTAGGTCATCATTATTTTAAAAACAAATCATGTCTGTAACCTCTTTAAAAAGAATAAACTTGCAAATCTCATTTATAGTCTCTGCAGTTTTGCACATAAAGCTTTGCTTTTTGATTCACCATTCTCTGACCCTTCACACTTTGCATAAAGTCTATAAAGAATATGACATGAAACAGTACGTGCACAGGCCTCTAATCTGTTTAAAAGTGATGTGTAGAATGCTACAGATGCTTTCACAGTGACACCGTGGCTAAGCCTGTTATTCCTCTGTCACCGTTTCATTCCCTCGCTCCCACTCTCTGCCACCCGCATGTCATCCTTCTCTCTGGATCAGAGCCCTGTCCCTGTCTAGCATCATCCCTCTCTTCCAATCCCCTGTTTCGGCCCTTTTGTTCTGTTGTTTTTCTTCTATTAGATTATCATAGCCGCCCCACCCTCCCTTGCCCATCTCCCCATGGAGAAAACCTTTAGATCCAGAATGTGCAGGTTCAATTGCATGTAATGTTTTCTGTCATCTGTCAGATGGAGCTGCTTGACTAACGTGATTAGGCTTAATCCAATCCAGCCCTTCTCCTGCAGTCCACTGGCCTGCCCACAGAACTATAACACACACTGACTGGGGCTGGACAGGGCTGGGTAAAGAGCTTCCTGGCTAACTGGCCCAAAAGCAGCACATACACAGACAGACTGAGGAGAATCTGTGCAAGTAGATGGATGCGAGTCATGAGTGTGAGTATGTGCATGCGTATGTGCAGGTAAACTGCATGCACTCACCAGTCTGCCAGAGCCCAGCGGGTCCTGATGAAGCCTTTTCTGGACCATTTGCACTGCAGATAAGCAATACAAATGCACAACATTAACATTTTAGAAGAAACGCAGGTTTCCCACATTACAGAATTTACAAGTATGTTCTACACTCACCCTCAATCTCTGTCAATATAGTCAACTATGCAACTGACTGTTAGAATTAGTAGTGAATGACAGATCATATGAAGGGTAAATTCAATATTTTCAGGTCATTAAAAATATTTTGTATGAGAAAAAAAAAACAAAAAAAAACACACAGAATTTGGCTCATGCAGATGGGTCAGTCTCAGTCACTCAGAGCAGGGCAGACTGCTCAATGTCACCATCATCTTCCATCACCCGTGTGGATTGTTAAACCTGATAATTATTCCTCAGTTGTCATTTCTTAAAACACAAGAAAATAAATAGCAGACCGAAAACAAATAGCAAATTTTATAAACAGCAGAAACTCACAAGTTCTTAAATAATACAGATATTGTAGCACCAGAGAGTCACACCTTCCCAATATTCTTAGCAGTTTTGTGTGTTTCTGTAATTATCTCAAATTTGTATTACAAAGATTTGTTTTTGTGTTACAACATGCTAGAATTTAGGTTAAGCCATAAAACACTGGTGCTTTATCAGCAGTATCAGTCAAGCTCTACCAAACTTTTTGAATATCAATGTGTACACTTGTCTTTTGGCCAATTTATACTTCTTTGGTCGTTTTCAAACGTATGAAACACATGGTACGTTTTTTTTTTGTTTTTTTTTTTAAATTGGTTTATTTTTTTTTATTTATTTATTTATTTTGTTATCCATGCTTCTTGATGTATTGAAGAATTTCCTAAAGAATCATAACTGATTTTTAAAACAAATTTGTAAATAAATTGAATTAGTGTGAGGTCAGAGATTTACATGCCTAAAATTAATCTTTATCATGTAGCTAAAAGAAGGTGACATTTTTGTGTTAGTGGCCTTGACCTCAGTCTGCCCATTCCAATTCAGAATGTTTAAAATTTCAACCCAACCCTAGCTAACATAACAGATAAATAATATTTTTAAATAATCTATGCTCTATAGAGAGAACAGTGGATTGTCATCAACTGGCCCACAGTCTGTTCCATTTTAGAACGCAGTCTAGTATTAAGAATAGTTTTAAACAGTTTGTACTGTCAGGAACTAATTAAAAAGTTTCAACATTAGATTGTTGACCGCACAACATACGCAGCCTGGTTCAGAGCTACATTAATATAAAACCAATTAAGTCTTCAAATGGGTGGAGATATTCTTCCATACTGGCACCTCTTCATATCTTTATACAGTGGTGTCCAAATGTCTGAGACGAAATGGAAAATCAGGGATTTTTTCATTTAAACCTGGTCATAAACAAAAAAAAAAAAATTAAATTTTGAAAAATATTTTAAAAGAATTATGAAATATTTTATTTAGATTCTGCACTAATTCTAGATCACTGTTGAAATGTCATTAAAGCAAAAGGGGACATATCAAATATTAAGACATGCTGAAATTAATGCAAATTTTAACGTTAATGAAATGAAAATGTTAACGAAATTAAAACAAAAAAAAAAATCTACTTTTCACTCAGATTGTTATGCTGATAATATGATTTGTAATGAAAAACTCTGTATTAAATTAAAAAAGAAAGCAAAATAGAAGCATTTTCATTAATGGTCTCAGACCTTTTGACTTCACTATAGATCAATATCTATATATTTAACTCCAGTACAGTAACAACAGAACAATCACATAAGGCAGGTGGTCTAAATCTTGATCTTATACTCTTTTAGTCTTAGCATTGTATTTACCACAACCCCATAAAGAACTACTGAAATATGATCATACAGCTCCTTGAACATTTTACGTTTTGTCTGCTGCAACTTCTCTACCTTCCTTGTATGAATTCCTTAACTTCTTAATCTGATTTTCAATCTTCTGGACCATTTCTCTTCATCATATACTGGGTGAATGACTGAAACAGAACTCCCCGATACATGTACACACACACACACACATCTACACACAGCACATGATTTACCACATAGCTTGTTATTAAATAAGAGACAAATTGATATCGCAAGTGTCCTCATTTTCAATGCACAGACAAATAAATAAATAAATAACCATGCACTCGCTCTCTGCCTCTCCCCGAGCTCCTAATGGGGAGTTAACTGCTGCCGTGAATAAACTAATTATGGTCCAGGTCACATAATTACAAATTGACTAATTTTATTTAAAAACTCTGATGCAAATTAAAAGCCTGAGAGGTATTTGATTGCGCCTCACATCTTTCAGACCACATTAGGACAAGATTAACTGTATCAAACTGAATTACATTAGCATAGTTGAATTAATCTATAAGCTACTGTGGAGCAGGATGTATGATCCCAATAACACCACAGTGTACGGATCACGTGGTCGAGAAGAGAGTGAAGCTCAGGACACAAGCCTGACTTTAGAAGAACCTAGTTGCCAAAATTCTTACCAATCTAGAAATCATTCAGCTTATGACATTAACGCATTACAAATACATAATTTCATGTAGTGCTTTTATTTTTATGACTACGCAAGTAAGACCCTCATACTGGAAGAGTGTTTTTAACCCATTTGAGTCCAACAACTAAATTTAGTCTTTTGCCAGAAAAAGTGCTCGCAACCAAAGTACACATAACCTCAGAGGTACAACATGAACCTTACGGTCTCATTGTGTACATTAAATTACTTTTAAAAGATACCACCCTGTGCATCTGTACTTTGAAAGTCACTGCCCTTTTTTCAGAGTGTCTAATGAGAAATAAAAATGCCATGTAACTTATTCTGATTGGTCTAAAATAAAATATTGTAAAGTTACACATCTAGCATCTAAGATCTAACCGATTTGAAATTTTATTACTTTTATTACAGTAATTTTTCTATGTTTATTCACAAAAATTAGACTTCTATTACTTTATCATATTAAATAAATCAAGTGATGTATAATTCATTTCTTTCCATATGGTTTCATCTATTTTGAACCATTTGCAGAAGTGAACTTTCAGACACAGACATTAATAAGTGTTTTGCAAATCCTGTCCAAACACATTTAAAAATAGATGAGAATATTAAGTGTCAGAACATCACATGTCTAGCTCTCTTCACTCTCACTGAGTGAGAACAAAACAAGCATTTGCACCATTGACCTTAATGCTTATGATAAAACACCACAAATCTTATCCTGTCACATCAAATTATCTCACAGAGAAACAGTCTGCCTGCTCGAACACTCCACCTCGCAGTGGCCAAAGGAAGGGTCATCCTGTCGGGGAGCAGATGTCCGTTAGAAAGGTCAGCAGGCTGGAGGTGAAATAGGCTGCTCTGATAGCTCCCGAGCAATGACAATGATGAACGAGTGGTCAATGTGGGTCTCCGTGACTACTGGCTCGTGCAGGGCCGCCCGGAGACAGCGGACAGTAGGGAAAGGTAGTGATGTGGAAATAGAGGCGCTGGTCCAAGGGGAAAAAACAGGGCAGTCTATAATCTCATATCTGCCACCCACTAGCTGACTCAATCTCCATCTAAAGCCAGCCATGTCACAAACCCCCTAGAAGAGGTTTGGGGATACGAAGCTACAATACTCCTACGCACTGACCTTTGTGATGTCGTGCTTGAGAGACCCCCCATAGCCTAATAAATAACAGCCCCAGCTGGGTCTGGGATGAGGAGAGGGGGGCTACCGTCCTACAGAGCTACACACAGTCAGAAATTTGCTGTGAGTAATAATTAATACTTACTAGTTGATGACTGATGAAGTGCAGGCCTCCCCCTTTACTCTTTATTCCATTATTCCTCTAGCCAAGTAAATCAAGTAAGAGTACAGGAGTTACAGCACGGTCTACTGAGAAGGGTGAGGTGACCAAGGTGACAATTGTAAGGCAGTGCTTAATCCCAAACACTCAACAATAGAACTATAAGTTTGATGCACCTGAAAAGTAATAGAAGCTTGTACAATTAGCATCATATAAATAGTATAAATCACCACACACCTGCCTCAAGCCACACTGTCTCTACATAATCTCAATGAGAAGAGTTCTTGGGCAAGACTCTACCATTCTACATTAATTTACCATTCTAATTCACTCTGAATGAGCGTATACATGTCTACATTCATTATTGACATTTAAATATGTAAATGTAATAATGAATGTAAAAATACAAAACACAATAGTTGCTAGTACTGTTTTTAACTACACCACCATGCAAAAGCATGGAAATGTTATAGATGGAAACAATATATCAAGTAATTACTAAATATGTAGTTACAGAAATAAACAGTTACAGTATATTATTTAACATTCACTAACTTCTTGACACCGTCAAAAACTTTAAAAGACTGAATACCTGCTGATATCTAGTTTATAAGATTTCAATATACAATGTATAAATTATTGTTGAACAAAATAACAATGATTAATATGACAAGCTGAAATTCCAAACTATTGAAGGGTAGCGTTTGTGACTTTGTGACTTTTTTCCTCATTTTCATAGAAAACAGCATGCCTCACAGAGTCAGAAATCACAGAAGCAAATAAAGCTTTTTGGATGACTTAACATCTAATTAGTGATGCATACGATTCCATTATTTGTTTGCTACATTAGTCTCATAGCTCCAGTGCAGAAATAGAGAAGCACACTTTGGATAAGCATCTTGGCTGATAGAATACACCTGGAGTAAGATGAAAACTGAGGAAATATGGCTTTTCACTGAGCTATCACTTTAAGACAGGCAATAAAAGCACCTTGGATCTTTGTATGGGTAGAGAGTTAATCTTTTTTAGGTTTTTGCCCTTTGAAAGAGTCAGGAGATAAAGTCCAGTACATCCAAAAACAAACAAACAAAAAAAAAAGATGTGTTTTTAATTATTCAGTCAATCACCAAAAGTCTCATGTGTCTGTGTTAAAAAAATGCCATGCCAAAAAGCCTTCAGAGGCATGTGAGTCCGCATGAAACCTTTCCATAAATAAATAAAACTAACGTAACAAATGACCGTGGTGGCACGACTTAAAAGGATTGAGGAAAGCCGGAGAAATGACAGGCCGCCGAATCCATCAGCTCGACCTTTCACAAACAATGCGCCTGGCGTTTCGTCCAGTTCCTTCTGACTCGGCTTTTCAATTAATATTGTCCCCTCGCTCGCCCACCACTTAGAGCCATAACTCATGGCTTCAGTGTTTTGCATACGGGGAGGGGAAAGTCATTTACGCTGGGCCACCCAGTCTTCTGAAGGGGATACAGGGTCATATCATAGCACTCTGACGATGCACTAGATTAGGGCAAGGGCACGCAACCATACAGGGATTAGTACACAAATGCACACACACACAAATAAGCACAATTGCACTCATACAAAAAACACTCAATGACATTTACTTCCAAGAGAGTGTCAGAGAACTATAGTAGATTAAACAGAGTAGATTAAATACATTAATGCTGTGGCTCCAAATCCTGGTTCTGGAATTACTCCCATCCTGCATATTGTACTATTTTCCTAGCTCTAGCACACCTGATCCAACTAATCAGCTAATTAACAAGCCCTTCTTAAGTTGAAGTGGCTTAGGTGGGGGACATTCAAGCACTTACACACGTGCACCTCCGTGCACACAAGCTCATACACATACACAGATTCACAAAGCCTGGCACGAACGCAGGTCGCATTATCTCCTTGTTGTGCTGCCAGTAAATCCCACAGCCAGTCAATCAAACGAGAGAATGAAAGTCCTTCCCCTTCACTGATGTCATCAGGACATGAAAGAGTGACAGCGTATTGATGATGCTGGTAGGAGAACGGCATTCACTTCTTACTGAGGCTAACCATCCTCTCATCCTCGCTGAATGCCCCCTGACTCACTGCAATTATCCTCATCACAGTCATCATCCCCACCTTTACCATAAAGCTTGTTAGGCATAGAGACTCAAAATGGCATCACCTACACCTGATTTCTCTCCCATTCAGTGGCTGTGTAGCTTCTGGTGACCTATGTTTTTCCAATCCTAACAGACCACAACTCAGAGTAAAAAAATCAAGGACAATGTAGGGGACAATTTTTGTCCTCACTTACTGAAATTCAGGTTTTTTTAAATATAAAAATAGAGGTAGTTTGCAAAACACATAAAGCATTATAATAATTACAGTAAGTCAAACAATGTTAGCTGTACATGTTCTAGATTGTGCATATACAATATTTATTACATTTATATTGTTATTTTCGTGTTCTTTGCCCTGTACTTGTTTAAGGGGCAAAGAACACGAAAATAACAATATAAACGTAATAAATATTGTGTATATATATATATATATATATATACACACACACACACACACACACACACATACACACACACATACTGTATTTATTTAAGGGGCAAAAATGGTAAATATATGGGTATTTTTGCCTTGTTGCCTTATTTCTGACACTGACATACCAATCAGTATTCAATTCCAGAGAGCTTTAACAAGTGTTTCTTGGGTTTCTAAGTTTTGGTTTGGAATTTAACTTTTCAGGAGGATCAACTTCCAGGAGGAGGGATGTTGACCACAACTGTGTACGGTTCTTGTCTGATATCTAGATGTCGCTCGAGTGTGTCAGAGAGTGCTTCCTCTACACAGTGCAATCAACTCCGCCACGCTTCAGACCCAGAAGCGGGAAGAGAACGAAAAATCCCTCCTGGTCACACCATCGCTGCGTCTTGCCCTGAATTCACCGTTAATAGGATTCTTTTAGAGCAGCAGATGGATGGCGAATCTGGCCGGTTTCATCTACTAAAAGAGGGCATAAATCACAGGGTGGGGAGCGGGACGAAGCTGGGGTTATCACCAGCACAGCCACCTCACCATAGCCCTGCATTAGAGCATTAGTGAAATTAATTCATCTTTCATAAGAGGTCTGTGCCGTATCGGTGATCTATGATAACAACCAATCTCTCACGACGGAGAGCACCGCGTGTGTGTGTGTGGGTGTGTGTGTGGGTGTGTGTGTGTGTATGCGTGTGCACGTGTGTGTGTGTGTGCAAGCGTGAGGGAGAGTCCCCTGTCCCAGCTAGGCTACACAAATCTGCTGGTTTTAAATGGGATAACATTATCTGGAGTGCTGCTCTTGAGAGCATCATCTGAGATTCATAACCCAGCCGTGGAACGCACATAAATCAATGCACAAACTTTGTTTTCTCTGCCTTTTTTTCCCTCTCCCTCGTTCTCCAGTCAACCTTGCTGTTTTTGTTTTGCTTGCGTTCTGTGTAATTATTGTGAATGGTGTAGTGCCTGAATCATTGTAATTGCTTTTAGATCGTGTGGAAATGTCACATTTGGAGGCGGGGGATACAGAGGGAAGGTGTGTGTGTCAGTGTGTGTGTGTATGTGAGTGTGAAGGATGAGGAAATTGGGAGAGAGGCCCGTGAAAGGCCAGCTCTGTCTGCTTTTGCATATATTTGCAGGTCCGGGCCACCCGAGTGTGGATAACTGATGAGCTCTGAGAATCAGGCTGACACATGAGCTGCCTCGCTCTTTATTACTGTATCAGCCTCACACACGCTGACACTACTATAGAGGGCAACATGCACACACACACACGCTCACACAGACATACAGCAAGTAGGAAAAGTCACAGAACTGCCCTACACATCAAGCCGTCCAACACTGTCATAGCAGACACATACTGTAGTCTAAACACCCGCAAATTAACTTTTAATTCCACTACAAGTAAAGCTGCATTCAAAATGCAACAGGCTATAATATGGTTTACTGACATTTTCTTGAGGAGCATTCATACAAATTGTGCTTCTCTGTTCAATGAAACTAGCTTTTAAATTTAATAATTTAGTTAGCTTTAACAAAATATGGTGAAGTCTAAAGAGGCCACACTGTTGTTTTTTTTTTTGTTTGTTTTTTTTAAAGAAAAAAAAAATGTTTTAGAACACTGAATTTAAAACAAAGAAAAGTTAGGACAATTAAAATGAAGAAGAAATATTCGTGATATTTGTGAAATTACCCTTGGTAAGGCCTTTGTACAAAAATGTCACTTAAGTCTTTTGTAACTCTTATTCCTTCCTTTGAAACACATGTTCAGATGACTTTCAGTGGGTCTGATCTACTGGCCAGAGGCTTTGGCCCAAACTTATGGAAGCCATGCCAGCTTCAGAACACACGGTCACTAAAGGGGGACATACCAAATATGAACAATTCATGTTACCGTTCAAAGTTTTTTTTTTTCTCACTCAAATTGTTATGCTGATAATGTCACTTACAATGAAAAATGTTGTATTAAATTGTGAAGGAATGCAAAACAGAAGCATTTTTACCAGCGGTCTCAGACTTTTGGTTCCCACTGTAAATGTATATATATTTTTAAAAGACAATTAAAATAGTTATTTATAACCTAGCTAACAGATGTATAGAAATTTCACTCAATTCAAGCATCATACTGGTAGCAATTCTGCACAGCTTGCAGAATAAGATCAAAAACCTGATTAGTTTAAAAAAAGCATTATTGCTGTATTAAGCAAACCAAATTCAGCATTTATGTTTTGTCTCGCTGGTAATTAATACATATCCAGGTATAGTACCTAGTTTATTTACATAATACGTTTCTCAAACATTCCATGATACAATATAATTCATGCCTGTGTGTACATGTATTTGATAGATACTGCGTGCACAATACACAACACATAACTACCAACTACTTCAAATGTTCTAACAGGCTTTGTAGCAGTCTCATTAAACTGATTTCAGGATTGGGCACTTTCACTTGAAGGCATTTTCATGGCTGCCATCTTTGGCATTATGGTCAGATCTAACTCAAAATTATGGAGCTGACCCTTTCTCTGACAGTGTCACATACAGAACTGAATGCTAGTTCAATTCTAGTCCAGAATTTAGGGCATAATTAGTAGGCATTCATCACACAAATGTCAAGGAGATCACAGCTAACAATTTTATAGTATAACGTCTAAAATCTTATTTAAACACTGTCTAGACAGTAACAGTAAACACACCTCAGGGAAGTAGTCTTGGGGAAACTTCTCTTTCTCGAGCATGGATGTACTCTCTAAAGTGTCCGAATAAATCTCCTTGCCAACCACCTTCTTGAATTTCTTGGCTGCACAAAACAAACAAGAGAGCAAAATAAACAAGAGAGCAAAATAAAAAGAGAGCAAACTGTCACAGGACATTAATTGCTGAGAAATTAGCTAGAGATGAGAAGCATGCAGAAATCCTTAATTTTCCTTGAAGTTCATTCCCGCAAGAGTGTCTGAGCCTTTTTCAGGCAACTGCTCCACCTACTGGTTATTAAAAGAAAAGCCCGATGTCCTAGCCTCAGAGACGGCCTTGCTCGCTGATTGTTCCAACACTTGGCTGCTCTAGACATCTGAGCTATCAACATTCCTAAATAGTTGGTCTCATTTGAAAGATTAATATTGATTGAGCAAACAAATGTTTGGAACAAATGGAGAAAGCCAGAAAACTTTACCCCTCTATCTGAATACTTGCTATTCCAGAATTAATTTATTCATAAAGTACCAGTCAAAAGTCTGAACCTACCTGATGTGCGATGATCATAATCACACATTTTATAATCACATATTTTAATGTATTGAAGTACTTTAAATGTGTTTCTAAGAAACACAAATAGGGAATCTGAAGCCAATGTATGATTTTCTGTTGCCAATTTTTGTAAATTAAAACAGATTTTTTTTTAAATACACAAGGTCTATTGGAAAAGTAGGCCTATCCCAGGTGGCTCCTCATGAAGTGCAAAGCTGCCTCAAGTACAGCAGAGGACTATACATAATTTACATATAACATCAAAATTTCCATAAACTCGGATGAGATGAAATCAGGTTAAATTTTGACATCGAGCATAATTATACCATTCTCAACTTCGTATTAGAAGCATTGGCTTTAATTGCTACTTCGGATACAGGGAGTGGGAACAAGCCATTGACTCGCAACAGCACAAACCAGGGAACAGTTAGCAAAGTTAGCAAGCCTGCTATTTTTTCAAAGTTGACAATATAGAGACACTGTAGAGACTAATGCAAAACACAATGAAGAGCTGGTTCGGTTCTATCTTGACTCTTTTGATTATAAATCATTTTGTGTATTACACTAGACTAAGCTCTTTTTAGAGAGGGGAGATAAATTACTATTTAGAATTTAAACTGAGCCTTAGAAAATGCTTACAATATTTATGGACAATTATCAACATTAAACAATAAGATAAACCAGTGTCTTTCAGATTGAAATATAAGGTGCAAAAATCAGTGATGCTTCACAATAACTTTCTTCAAAGAAAAAGGACTTAAAGCTAGTCTCAAAACTTGCACTGTTTACATTTGTTTATATATAGTGCTTCTTTTCAGTTAAACGCAGTATTTATGAATAATAATGCTGAGACCTTCAGTTGACAGAATTTTCTTCCTCTTGGAAGAGTACGCTATCTGATACAGTGAAAGAGGGATTCATATGAAGAACTGAAATTAGTTTTTAAACATCCTGCTCATTGTATAATTCCATGTTTCTTATTTCACAGTTTTGATGTCCTCACTATTATTCTAAAATGTGGAAAATTGTAAAAATATAATGTTAGGTATGTTCAAACTTTTGAGTGGAACTGTACTTGTCATTCTACACTGTAACTGCAAAAATAAACCCTTGTGAAGGACTGTTTTGAAAAATTCAATCATGACGCTATCATGCTTGGGACAGGCTGTGATTTTATAGGTCAGTTTTATTGTGGGGAATGGCTGAAGAAAGCAGCATGTGAGGGAGTGTGGGGGTCCTCTATCCATTGCTGCCCCCTCTCACCTGTCCTTCACGTGGGTGACAGCAGCTAATGCTGACACTCATGTAATAGGAGCAGCTTTAATTAGTGTGACCACAGGGAACCGCGACCTCTGACCCTTGCCGCTGATGAGGTCACCACTAACTGTCCAATACTTGAGCACACTATTACCACAGCTTGAAATCTCATGAATTAAATTCTAATATTAATAAGCATTGCTATTCCTTATTACTAACTCCATCTCTCTGGATTGCTTTTCTCCCCAGCCCCAGAGGATCATACTATTCTAATGGAACCGGTAAGAGTGATTGAGATGCCTCATTATCAGCAGACTTGGATTAGTATGGGAAATGAAGAGACTTACCTTTGAAATCAAACTGGTGGAGGTTTTTCAAGGATTCATGTACAAAGTAGCAACTTCCTAGTGCCTGTGCAAAGAAAGAAAAAGAGAGAGATTAGAGGAAAATACTTAAGGTGCATGTTTACAGTCACATGAGCAGCTCCACAACTTCCACAAGGACAATACAACTGGGACAATGCAAAATGCCTTCGTTTTGGTTACAGAATCATACATTCTTTAGAAGTCTTTTGAAGGAGAATGACTGGAAGTGATACAGGCAGGATTTCCCATCTCAAAACACTTCCTCCATGTATAGAGCTCCACAAAAGCCTCAAAATCCACTTCTCCCATCTGAATGGAGAAAACAGGCTGTGATCAAAACCCCTGGCACCATGTGACCCTGAACACAGACAGACACAAGGCTCTCCTTTTCTTATGTAACGAGTTCACCGCACTCAAATATGACATGTAAATTATAGATGGACCCGATTCTGTCAAAGTAATCTCAGCCTTTCACAGCAGGCACAGTCAGACGGAGTTTAGCATGACCAAAGATTTACTTCAATAGGATTATATTCTTAATTTTACTGAACAATCAGACAGTTTCCCAGTCTGTAGATACCCCAAACAAACTCAGCCAGAAAGAGGATGGATGGGGAGAAGAAAACCCTTAGGCTGAGGGATTTGATCCGGTTCACAGTTCACTAGCTGCTTTTGGAAGAGCTTTCTCCCCTCACGCTCTCCAGGCAGCAGATAAAGCCAGGGGAGCTGACTTCTTTGCTCAGAGGCCTCAACACGAAAGGGCCCATTCTGTCAATTGTCCAGTAAACCTCTAGAACTTCCACGGTTCCACAGTAAGGAGGGGGTCACTACAAGAGGACCCCCACAGAAGGGGAAGGGTGAGAGCATGAGAGGAGGACAGAGCGTACAGCTGAACAGCTGATAATGGCAGACTTTGAACCATTGACACAGAGCGATAGAGGGATAGAAAGAGAGAGACAGGCAGTAGTAGAGCTAAAGCCCAGTGAGATGTGTGTGAACTTTCCAGAGCAGGTGAGGAGAGGGGAGACAAGGAGGCAGACAAGGCTCTGGGGAGCTGGGTTTGGCCAGAGGGAAGCCACCAAGGCCGGCACCCAGAGAGACCGGCCATGGTCAGCCCTTTGCATTATTTATGAGCGTAGCACATCTAGAGATTACACATTTGCTGATTTGTCGAAAGCACAAACATGAGGTCCTGCCTATCTCCTTGACACATTAGGCTACCCAACGGAAACCAGCGGTCACGCAAATAATTGATGAGAACAGATGCCTTGTGACCTAAAGCATAGAGCTGATTCTCTCTCCTCTGTCTGATATTAGTGTGAAAGAGAGAGTTCAAGATAGAGTGAAAAAAGTGAAAGAAAAGAAGCAAGAGATAGTGTGAGAGAGAGAGAGAGAGAAACAGAGAGAGCGTGTGCGACAGAGAGAGGACAAGAGAAAGACAGAGAGCGTGACACAGAGAAACCGAGACAGAGAGTAAAGCAGTAAAGCAGAGAAACACAGAGAGAGAGAGAGAGAGAGAGAGAGAGAGAGAGAGAGAGAGAGAGAGAGAGAGAGAGAGAGAGAGAGAAAAATCAGTGGAGGACAGCTTCCAGGAAGGACCTGGATTTTTTTTTTCTGCTTGCTGTTCTTTATACTTCCCCACCTTAAAGTCAGGTAAAGTCAACTTGCAATTACAGCCAAAAGCTAAAAGGAATCTTATGCTTCTGTATTCAAATCGATTTATCAGCCGTTTACAAATATGTATGACCTCCACGAATATGCTTTGCCTGAAGCTGCCTGAACCTCTTTTTGTTGGAGGCGAAACCTACAAATTGAAGATGGAGTGATGGCAGAGGATCTTAGATGCAACCTTAATCACTCTCTCCAACTGATTCTGCTCTCAACAGGTTAGACTGCCATACCACGTTGAAATACAGAAAGTGAACACACTCTCCATAGCTGATTTGTAAAAAGGAACTAGGGCATTCATTTCCAGACACACTCTAAATTCTTTTAAGTGCCAAAAAATGAAAGAGAGAGAGAGAGAGAAATACAGAGAGAAAGAGAAAGAGAGAGAGAGACAGAGAAAAAAAGAGAGAGAGAGAGAGAGAGAGAGAGAGAGAGAGAGAGAGAGGTAAAGGGAAGATAAACTACTGTTTTACGTCAACAGATGCCCATCAGAGCTTTTATTTAGCAATATTAAAGGTAATAAGAACAAATCTTTAGCGCCATTTCTTATCGTTTCTTATCTAAGTGTTATGTCCTTGAGTCACAGAACCAGGTAAATCAGCAACAGCTGTAGTCTCTGAGGCAGACCACAGCTCGAGAGCACTGCCAGGTACTCTTTGTTCTACTGTCATAGAAAGCTATAACCACATAACCTCTCTGAGAGCAATCGCCACAAATGGCACTGTCATGATTACTTTGAGCAAATTCCAATTAATCACCTCTCAAATAAATGGTAAACAATTGCGCCCAAGCGGCAGCCTTAGCCATCATAAAAATTCTATACGAGAGCTCTAATAAATATTTAATGTCAGAGTTCAAACTGGCTGCCTCGTTTTCCCCCCTCACCCGTCTCCTCCTCCTGAGCTGGGGCACTCTTCATGAAGAACCTATTATATTAGCGGCCCGCAATTAATCCATTTGTCTTGAGGCATGACAGCTTCAAAATATTAATTGGAGCCAAAGCGCGCTGACAGGAAGTGCTTATCTTTTACCCACTGCTTCACAATGGGCCATGTCAAGCGTATGTTTGTCACGTCCCACGTTATTGATTACCTGCCAGATTCACTTGAAATAATTAAAAGTATATTTTACATATTTATAAACCAGACTGTCACTGGCACTACTTAATTCTCCATTAGTAAAATGCACTATATTAAGTGCGCCAGGCGGGCCAAGGGAAGGGAAGGGAAGTGAGTAATCGCAGTAATTGTAGACAGAAAGACAATAACTAGGCCATAAAAGGCAGGTTTTACAGCTGGCCCTGGAAGTCTCTCTCTCGCTCTCTCTCTCTCTCTCTCTCTCGTGGACACAGGTGAAATTCGGAACACAGACAAGCATGAGATGAAGCACAACACAGGGTCAAACCTACATTAGACCAGCTAAACAGAATTTTTAAACTAAAGGATATGAACGAAGAAATATATATACACTGTAACCTAGGGCTATCCCCTCCAAGTCAATTACATGTCCAGTCATAGCATTCTTGGTTGACTTTTTGTTTTGTTTAAAACTGCAGATTCTATTAAACTTGTAGATATTTCTGAAAATCAATCATCTTTGGATCACATAATAGGTCGGAATCATGAAATCTTTACATCTCATAGTTAACATGTCCCTAGTAAGTCTGTGTTTAAGTTGAAGTATTGTTCTATTTTACTGTCTTGTTAATGTGCATTAATCATGCAACACGCTAAGTTTAAAAAAATGCAAAGCAAATACAACTTTGGGAAAAAAAATAAGTGAAAATACTTGGAAATTTGAAAAGATGATTTCAAGAAGGCAGAATGTAAACACTGCAAATGGTACTTTACTTTGAGTACAGCATTAAAAATAATGCATCATTCAAAAAATAGTATGTATGAGAGGGTTATGCTAAACTGGCAAGAGCAATAAAAAAATTCAATATAATATTATATATATATATATATATACACACACACACACTGCTCAAAAAAATAAAGGGAACACTCAAATAACACATCCTAGATCTGAATGAATGAAATATTCTCATTGAATACTTTGTTCTGTACAAAGTTGAATGTGCTGACAACAAAATCACACAAAAATCATCAATGGAAATCAAATTTATTAACCAATGGAGGCCTGGATTTGGAGTCGCACACAAAATTGAGGCTCAGTATTGTGTGTGGCCTCCCTACAACGCCTGGGCATGCTCCTGATGAGGTGGCGGATGGTCTCCTGAGGGATCTCCTCCCAGACCTGGACTAAAGCATCCACCAACTCCTGGACAGTCTGTGGTTCAACATGACGTTGGTGGATGGAGCGAGACATGATGTCCCAGATGTGCTCAATCAGATTCAGGTCTGGGGAACGGGCGGGCCAGTCCATAGCTTCAATGCCTTCATCTTGCAGGAACTGCTGACACACTCCAGCCACATGAGGTCTAGCATTGTCCTGCATTAGGAGGAACCCAGGGCCAACCGCACCAGCATATGGTCTCACAAGGGGTCTGAGGATCTCATCTCGGTACCTAATGGCAGTCAGGCTACCTCTGGCGAGCACATGGAGGGCTGTGTGGCCCTCCAAAGAAATGCCACCCCACACCATTACTGACCCACTGCCAAACCGGTCATGCTGAAGGATGTTGCAGGCAGCAGATCGCTCTCCACAGCGTCTCCAGACTCTGTCACGTCTGTCACATGTGCTCAGTGTGAACCTGCTTTCATCTGTGAAGAGCACAGGGCGCCAGTGGCGAATTTGCCAATCCTGGTGTTCTCTGGCAAATGCCAAGCGTCCTGCACGGTGTTGGGCTGTGAGCACAACCCCCATCTGTGGACGTCGGGCCCTCATACCATCCTCATGGAGTCGGTTTCTAACCGTTTGTGCAGACACATGCACATTTGTGGCCTGCTGGAGATCATTTTGCAGGGCTCTGGCAGTGCTCCTCCTGTTCCTCCTTGCACAAAGGCGGAGGTAGCGGTCCTGCTGCTGGGTTGTTGGCCTCCTCCACGTCTCCTGGTGTACTGGCCTGTCTCCTGGTAGCGCCTCCAGGCTCTGGACACTACGCTGACAGACACAGCAAACCTTCTTGCCACAGCTCGCATTGATGTGCCATCCTGGATGAGCTGCACTACCTGAGCCACTTGTGTGGGTTGTAGAGTCCGTCTCATGCTACCACGAGTGTGAAAGCACCACCAACATTCAAAAGTGACCAAAACATCAGCCAGAAAGCATAGGTACTGAGAAGTGGTCTGTGGTCCCCACCTGCAGAACCACTCCTTTATTGAGTGTGTCTTGCTAATCGCCAATGATTTCCACCTGTTGTCTATTCCATTTGCACAACAGCATGTGAAATTGATTGTCAATCAGTGTTGCTTC